TATGAAATTTAGAAAAGTCTGGTGTTCTGGCCAGGTGAGGTGGCTCACACCTGTAATCCCAGCACTTTGGGAAGTTGAGGTGGGTGGATCATAAGGTCAGGAGTTTGAGACCAGCCTGGCCAACATGATGAAACCGCATCTCTACTAAAAATACAAAAATTAGCCAGGCAAGGTGGTACATGCCTGTAATCTCAGCTACTCAGGAGGTTGAAGCAGGAGAATTGTTTGAACCCAGGAAGAGGAGGTTCTGGTAAGCCAAGATCACTCCACTGCACTCCAGCCTGGGCAATAGAGTGAGACTCTATCTTAAAAATAAACAAAAAACAGTCTGGTGGTCCTGATGTGATGCTGTTAGTCATGATTCCGGTTACTGTCTTAAAACGCTGCACATAAAATAAGAAATTAAATTTTCTTGAGGCCGGGCACGGTGGCTCACGCCTGTAATCCCAGCACTTTGGCAGGCCGAGGTGGGTGGATCACGAGGTCAAGAGATCGAGACCATCCTGGTCAACATGGTGAAACCCCGTCTCTACTAAAAATACAAAAAAAAATTAGCTGGGGCCGGGCGCGGTGGCTCAAGCCTGTAATCCCAGCACTTTGGGAGGCCGAGGCGGGTGGATCACGAGGTCGAGAGATCGAGACCATCCTGGTCAATGTGGTGAAACCCCGTCTCTACTAAAAATACAAAAAATTAGCTGGGCATGGTGGCGCGTGCCTGTAATCCCAGCTACTCAGGAGGCTGAGGCAGGAGAATTGCCTGAACCCAGGAGGCGGAGGTTGCGGTGAGCCGAGATCGCGCCATTGCACTCCAGCCTGGGTAACAAGAGCGAAACTCCGTCTCAAAAAAAAAAAAGAAATTAAATCTTCTTGTGAATTGAGAACTTCATCAATCATTGTCATAACTACTGTTTCCATCATCCACAGTTACCATTTTGAATTCTACTCTAAAAATATTTATAATTAGCACTAGTCCAAATTTTTTCTTTTTTTTGAGACACAGTCTTGCTCTGTCACCTAGGCTGGACACCTACTCTACAGCAACCTCTGCCTCCTAGGTTCAAGCAATTCTTCTGCCTCAGCAAAGAAGGTACACACCTCATGTGATATTGTATCAAGGCGAAGAGTATTATATTACTTTTAATGTTGCAGGAACGTAGACCCTGACTGTGATACTGTTCCTAATATCCAGACAAAGAGTCTGTTATCACTCCCAACATCAAAAAAGATGTAGAGCCCCCAAGGATACTGTCCCTGATATGCAGGGGTAAAGGATGATATTACTCCTAATATCGCAGAGAATGAACACTGCCCTTGTAATATTGTTCCTAATATCTACAGAGAAAGATGAGGATATTACTCTCAATATGGCAAGAGGTGTACACTATGCTGTGATATTGTAACTTATGTCCACACATACACAAAAATTATATTAAACTAAATATTGCATGTGGTGAAACCCCCGTGATTTCCATTCTAGTATCAAGGGGGGCAAGAATAATATTTTTGTCAATATCACAGAGGCATAACTACAACTAGTGTTATTGTGCCTAATATCAAGAAGGAACAGAATAACATTATTCTCCCTATGATATGGTTCCTAGTATCATATTACTCCAAATTTTCTAAATAGCCGCTAAGGGAACCCCCTAGCCGTAGGGTTTGTAACATCCAGGGGGGAGCTGGAGTGTTATTACTTGCCCTATGGTAGGGGGTTGATCTGGGTACATAGTTTAAAGAGATATGACTCCTAATATCAACATTGGGTTGATATGGGTGTATATTTTAAAGATATATTACTCCTGGCCGGGCGCGGTGGCTCAAGCCTGTAATCCCAGCACTTTGGGTGGCCGAGACGGGTGGATCACGAGGTCGAGAGATCGAGACCATCCTGATCAACATGGTGAAACCCCGTCTCTACTAAAAATACAAAAAATTAGCTGGGCATGGTGGCATGTGCCTGTAATCCCAGCTACTCAGGAGGCTGAGGCAGGAGAATTGCTTGAACCCAGGAGGTGGAGGTTGCGGTGAGCCGAGATCACGCCATTGCACTCCAGCCTGGGTAACAAGAGCGAAACTCCGTCTCAATGTGCCTGTAATCCCAGCTACTCAGGAGGCTGAGGCAGGAGAATTGCTTGAACCCAGGAGGTGGAGGTTGCGGTGAGCCGAGATCACGCCATTGCACTCCAGCCTGGGTAACAAGAGCGAAACTCTGTCTCAATGTGCCTGTAATCCCAGCTACTCAGGAGGCTGAGGCAGGAGAATTGCTTGAACCCAGGAGGTGGAGGTTGCGGTGAGCTGAGATCGCGCCATTGCACTCCGGCCTGGGTAACAAGAGCGAAACTCCATCTCAAAAAAAAAAAAAAATGCATATATATATATATATATATATAACTCCTAATATCGTTGTCGTAGAGTACGTTTGCACACTTTGTGATCTTGTTTATATTAGGCAAATGTCATTACTCATAATATCAAAGTATGTGTAAAGTATTTGTGTACACCCTGTGATATTATTTGGAATATCTTAGGGAGAGATAGTATGAATCACAGGTGTGGGCACCTCCCTATTATATCGTTCATAATATCCAGGGGTAGCCATGCTGCTATTACTTGCCATGTTGTGGGGAGTTGATAATGGGGGTACACTTTAAAGATAGTACTTTGAGTATCATAGTCTGGTTGATTTCGGTGCGTATTTTAAACAGATATTACTCCCAATATTACATTCAGGGGGTTGATATGGGTGTATATTTTAAAGAGCTATTACGCCTATTATCTTAGTTGTTGTAGAGTATGTTTGAACACTATGATAGTTTGTAATATTCAGCATACATTAGTCATAATATCAAAGTATGTATACAGTATCTGTGTACAACCTGTGATATTATTCGTAATATCTCTGGGAGAGATACTACAAATCACAGGTATGGCCACTCCTCTGTGATATGGTTCATAATATTCAGGGGGAGCTGGGATGATATTACTCGCCATATGGCAGGTGGTTGATGTGGGTGTACATTTTAGAGAGAGATTACTCCCAATATCACCGTTGGGTTGATATGGATATATATATATATATATATATATATATATATATATATATTTTTTTTTTTTTTTGAGACAGAGTGTCGCTCTTGTTACCCAGGCTGGAGTGCAATGGCACGATCTCGGCTCACCGCAACCTCCGCCTCCTGGGTTCAGGCAATTCTCCTGCCTCAGCCTCCTGAGTAGCTGGGACTACAGGCACGCGCCACCATGCCCAGCTAATTTTTTGCATTTTTAGTAGAGACGGGGTTTCACCACGTTGACCAGGATGGTCTCGATCTCTCGACCTCGTGATCCACCCGCCTCGGCCTCCCAAAGTGCTGGGATTACAGGCTTGAGCCACTGCGCCCGGCCATGGATGTATATTTTAAAGAAATATTACTCCTAATATAGTCAGGGGGTTGATATGGGTGTATATTTTAAAGAGATATCATTCCTAATATCATAGATGGGTTGTCTTGGGTGTGTTTTTTTTTTTTGAGATGGAGTTTTGCTCTTGTTACCCAGGCTGGAATGCAATGGCGCAATCTTGGCTCACCGCAACCTCCTGGGTTCAAGCAATTCTCCTGCCTCAGCCTCCCATGTAGTTGGGATTACAGGCACTCGCCACCATGCTCAGATAATTTTTGTATTTTTAGTAGAGATGGGGTTTCACCACGTTGACCAGGATGGTCTCGATCTTTTGACCTCGTGATCCACCTGCCTCGGCCTCCCAAAATGCTGGGATTATAGGCGTGAGCCACTGCGCCCGGCCTGGGTGTGTATTTTAAAGGGATGTTACTCCCAATATCAGTCTGTGTGGAGTATGTATGAACACACTGTGATATTGTTTGTAATATTCAGCATATGACATTACTTGTAATATCAAAGTACGTGTTCAATATTTAGGTACACCCTGTGATACTATTTGTAATATCCTTGGGAGAGATACTAGGAATCACATGTGTGGGCACTCCCGTGATATGGTTCGTAATATCCAGGGACGGCCAGGGTGATATTACTCACCATATTGTGGGGGGTTGATATGGGTGTACATTTTAAAGAGATATGACTCCTAATATCATAGCAGGTGTAGAGTATGTTTGAACACCTTGTGATATTATTCGTAATATTCAGCATGTGACATTACTTGTAATATCAAAGTATGTGTAGTTATTTGGGTACACCCTGTGATATTATCTGTAATATCTTTTTTTTTTTTTTTTTTGAGACGGAGTTTCGCTCTTGTTACCCAGGCTGGAGTGCAATGGCACGATCTCGGCTCACCGCAGCCTCCGCCTCCTGGGTTCAGGCAATTCATCTGCCTCAGCCTCCTGAGTAGCTGGGATTACAGGCACGCGCCACCATGCCCAGCTAATTTTTTGTATTTTTAGTAGAGACGGGGTTTCACCATGTTGACCAGGATGGTCTTGATCTATCGACCTCGTGATCCACCCGCCTCGGCCTCCCAAAGTGCTGGGATTACAAGCTTGAGCCACCGCGCCCGGCCTATCTGTAATATCTTAAGGAGAAATATTACTTGTAATATCAAAGTGGCAGTACACCATGTGTGTGCACTCTGTGACATTAGTGGTAATATCCTAGGAAGAGACGACATTCCTAATATCACTGTGGGAGTACACCATGTGTGTACATCCGTTGATATTACCTGTAACATCCTAGAGATATTACTCCTCATATCAAACTGAGCTTACATCCTGCAATATTGTTCATAATATACTAGAAAGATATTTCTCCTAATATCACAGTGAGTGCACACAATGCATGTACACTATATGTGCACACTCTGTGATATTATTCGTATCATAGGTATCACAAATGTACATATGTACTTATATAGTACATATGTACACATACATGTGTACATATATGTACACGTGCACATATATTACACGTGTAGATACTGTAATATCACAATGTATATGTACATGTGTACACAATACACACATGTGCGCAGTATGTACATGTGTACAAATATGTACATTTGTTGTGATATTGACTATCTCAAGAACAAATATTTCAAAGTAAGTATTTCTCAGTAAATAAGTATTTCAAACATACATAAATTTATAAGAGCCCATATGCCAAACACCTGGGTACCACTCTCTGGGGTTATGAGAACATACTCATATGTAGTGGTACTTGCTTCAGACTTTTTCTTGTTTCATGAACTAAAACTTATATATGAAATAAAGCCCCCAGAACCTCCTCCCACAGGCTTATTCCTCTACCCGTCCCTAGAGGTACCCACTCTTCTGAATTTAGTTTGTCACTCCTGTGCAACATTTTCTAGTTCTGCTGGCCTCACTGGCACTGGTGATGCTGGTCATGCTCACACTCCTCTTGATCTCAGCCACGACTGGGTAGATGTCCTCCTCCTGGTCCTCCAAGTCCCCGTCCCCATGCCTCAGGTGGTAGTGGGAGGTGCTGGTGTTCCCGTTGGCCTCTGTGGGGTAGCAGTCCTGGTAGTCCTCTTTGCTGGGATGGTAGTAGCCATCTTCTTCCTGGTAGTGGGCCTCCAGGACAGAGGGCTCATGCTCCAGGATGGGCAGGTGGCCATCTGGGTAATCCTGGCTGCCCTCAGCATAGTGGCTGTAGGGGTGTAGGCCTGCCGAGTCCAGCCACTCCTCTTCTGTCCCAGGGAAAGGAACAGAGGGGCCTGAGAGCAAGGGACCTCCTGGTACAGCCCTTGCAGATGCTGAAGTGAGGCAGTGGGGGGATTGGATGCCTTGCAGTTCTAATGGGGGCTGAGCTCTTCACTGGTCCAGTTATGAGGCATGTTGTGTGCATGCCCCTGGCATGTGTAGGTGTCCATGAGATACGTGCCATGGACTAGGTACTCATCCCCATTGCAGTCCATGGCCTCCAGGTAGCTGTTGTCCTTGGGGCAGCAGCAAATGTAGTAGGTGATGCCCTCCTCCTCCTTAGGGAGGCCCTTGTCGTAGTCCTCCTCCTCGAGGTTGTTGTTCACATAGTTGGAGCTGGAATCCCCACCGGGGCTGTGGTTGTGGCACTCCTACTCCTTGCGCATGGGGCTCTCTGGCGGCAGGGTGGCCAGTTTCAGGCCCTTGGGCCCATAGTCCTCCAAGGGCAGCTCCACGTCTTCGCTCCTGGCCGTGGGAGACAGCGCCCGGCCTCGCCCTGTAGTCCAACATGCCGCTCCCCATGCTCTCACACTTCCAGTGGGCCATGGCAGGCACTCACACAGCCATCATCTTCTGGAGGCAGCCATTGTGGGAGGAACATTGGGAAGGACAGAGTCAGAACCTCACCAAGCCCCGCCACACACGGGGCCACTCCAGCCTGACGACGCTTCCCACCCCCTTCTCCAACAGCAACATGAAAAATGACAGCTGAAGCTTTTCACTGCAACAATCTCTTAAAAACTGAAAATGGCCGGACGCGGTGGCTCACACCTGTAATCTCAGCACTTTGGGAGGCCGAGGCAGATGGATCACGAGTTCAAGAGATCGAGACCATCCTGGTCAACATGGTGAAATCTCATCTCTACTAAAAATGCAAAATAATTAGCTGGGCATGGTGGTGCGTGCCTGTAATGCCAGCTACTCAGGAGGCTGAGGCAGGAGAATTGCCTGAACCCAGGAGGCAGAGGTTGCCGTGAGCCGAGATCGCGCCATTGCACTCCAGCCTGGGTAACAAGAGTGGAACTCTGTCTCAAAAAAAAAATTTTTTTTAACTGAAAATGACCTAAGTTACCTGTAAATAAAAGAATGATTAGGCCGGGCACGGTGGCTCAAGCCTGTAATCCCAGCACTTTGGGAGGCCGAGGCGGGTGGATCACGAGGTCAAGAGATCGAGACCATCCTGGTCAACATGGTGAAACCCCGTCTCTACTAAAAATACAAAACATTGCCGGGCATGGTGGCTCAAGCCTGTAATCCCAGCACTTTGGGAAGCTGAGGCGGGTGGATCAGGAGGTCAAGAGATCGAGACCATCCTGGTCAACATGGTGAAACCCCGTCTCTACTAAAAATACAAAAAATTAGCTGGGCATGGTGGCACATGCCTGTAATCCCAGCTACTCAGGAGGCTGAGGCAGGAAAATTGCCTGAACCCAGGAGGCGGAGGTTGCGGTGAGCCAAGATTGCGCCATTGCACTCCAGCCTGGGTAACAAGAGCGAAACTCTGTCTCAAAACAAAAAAAAATACCAAAAAACATTAGCTGGGCATGGTGGCGTGTGCCTGTAATCCCAGCTACTCAGGAGGTTGAGGCAGGAGAATTGCCTGAACCCAGGAGGCAGAGGTGGTCGTGAGCCGAGATCGTGCCATTGCACTCCAGCCTGGGTAACAAGAGCGAAACTCCGTCTCAAAAAAAAAAAAAAGATTAAATAAATGAGGGCAGAGTTTGTGTGCTGCAAGAGTTGATAGCGGTTTTTTTTTTTTGTTTTTTTTTTTGAGACAGAGTTTCGCTCTTGTTACCCAGGCTGGAGTGCAATGGCGCAATCTCGGTTCACCGCAACCTCCGCCTCCTGGGTTCAGGCAATTCTCCTGCCTCAGCCTCCTGAGTAGCTGGGATTACAGGCATGTGCCACCATGCCCAGCTAATTTTTTATATTTTTAGTAGAGACGGGGTTTCACTATGTTGACCGGGATGGTCTGGATCTCTTGACCTCGTGATCCATCCGCTTCGGCCTCCCAAAGTGCTGGGATTACAGGCTTGAGCCACCGTGCCCGGCAAGAGTTGATAGCGTTTTTAAAGATGCAGGGCAACATGCATCATAGTGAGGGATGTTAAAGGCCTGTTTTGGAAAGAAAACAGCAAGTGAGGTATAGTCAGCGCACATGTGTAAATCCCAGTTCCAGCTCTACAAGATGGCTAAAGAATATACACACACTCCCCAGCCCATACACAGATGCAAACGCACATAGAAAGGGGGAACCCCGCAAAGGCTTCTTAGCCGTGTCCTCTGGGGAGGGGAGGAAAGAGAGGTAGGAGCAGAGGGGGCTTGCACATTTTACTTTATTAAAGATGTTTGTACTGGTTGAATCTTTTACCAAATCACATTTCATTATTCACGAGCATTACAATCAAACCCACCTGTGCGCCTTTCGGGGGTCTCCTCTTCTAGCTAGGGAGATGTCAGCACTGGGACAAAACAACCCATGGGGAAGGGCAGACACCAAGCGGAGGAAGCAGGACTTCCCACACCAGCTACTGCTCTGGGAGTCAGGAGAGGTAGCATGGCAAATAGGCCAGTCTCCTCCAGGAAGGCAGCCACTGGGACACAGGGGCCAGCCACCCAGGCGATCGGGACGTGAGCACGCACCAGGGCACAGCCAGAGACACCCGAAACACAGGAGACAGGGCTGCCAGGGGATGGGCCGGCCAGGACAGCTGGCAGTATTTATCTGGGGAAAACTCAATCGTCCCATTTCACTCAACGAGTAATTTGTGTGGCGGGGGTGTGTGGTATGTGCATGAGATACAGTGCATGTGGTGTGGTGGGTAGGGAGCGTGTAGCATTGTGGGCGTGGGGGCGTGTGTGTGTGTGTGTGGTCACTATGTTGGGGCATCATGGAGGGTGTGGTGAGTGTGTGGAGTGTACTCTGTATGGTATCTGGTATCTGGTGTTTGTGATGTGAATGTGATGTTTGTGTGGTACGTGTGGCGTGTGATGAAGTGTGGAAGGGTTCAGTGTGTATTTTTTGTGGGCATAGTGTAGTGTTTGTGGTGTGTGGTATATATGAGGTATGTGTGTGTGGTTCTATGAGGTGCGTGGAGCGTGTGTGGTGCGCATGGGGTTTGTGTGGTGTGTATTACATGCGTAAGGTGTATGTATACATGATATTGTGTGGTGTATGTATGTGAATAAATTGTCTGGAAGGTGGTGTGTTGTATGGGTGATGTAATATGTATGTGGAGTGTGGTGTGCTATGTGTGTGGTATTTATGAAATGTGTGAGGCCGTGTGGCATGTATGGCATGTGTGGGTATACAGGAAATGTGTATGTTGTGCATGTATGGTATGTGGTGTGTGTGCTATGTGTGGCATATTTGTATAACGTGTGTGTGGTGTGTATGGGGTATATGTGGTGTGCAGTATGTGTGAAGAGTGCATGGTGTGTATGAAGTATGTGTGTGGTGCATATGGGTTAAGTGCCTGGTGTGTGTGAGGTGGGCATGGTATATATGCGGTGTATGTGAGGTGGTTATGATATGCACGTGGTGTGCATGGGATATGTATGTGAGGTGGGTATGATACAAGTATGCTGTGTGTGAGGTGGACACGGTATATGTGTGGTGTATATGGGTTGAATGTGTTGGGTGTGAGGTGGGCATGGTGTATATGTGGTGTGTAGTGTGGGGGTGGGTAGGTATATGTGTGTTGTGTGTGGTGTGTAAGGGGTATGTGTGTGAGGTGGGCAGGGTATGTGTGTGGTGTGTGTGAAGTACATGAATTAAGTGTGTGGTGTGTCTGAGGTGGGCATGGTATATATGTGGTGTGTGGTATGTGAGGTGGATATAGTACGTGTGCAGTGTATCTGGGGTGTGTGTGGTATTTGTGAGGTGGGTATGATATGTGTGTGCTGTGTGTGAGGTCGGCATGGTATATATATGGTGTATGGTGTATTTGGGTTAAATGTGTCTGGTGTGAGGTGGGTGTATGGTGTGTGTAAGGTGGGCCTGGTAGTATGTGTGGTGGTTGTGGTGTATGTAAGTTAAGTGTGTGGTCTGTGTGAGGGGGGGCATGGTATGTATGTGGTGTGTGAGGTGGGTATGTGTGTTGTGTGTATGGGGTATGTGTGTTAGGTGGCTACGATATATGTATGGTGTGTGTGAGGTAAGCATGATATATGAATGGTGTATGTGTGGTGTATATGGGTTAAGTGTGTGGGGTGTGTGAGGTAAGGTATATATGTAGTGTGTGGTGTGTGTGGTGGGTATAATGTGTGTGCTGTGTGTGGTGTGTATGGGATATGTGTGTAGTGTGGGTGTGGTGCATATGGGTTAAGTGCCTGGTGTATGTCAGGTGGACATGGTACATATGTGGTGTGTGTGAGGTGGTTATGATATGCATGTGACATGTATGGGGTGTGTGAGGTGGGCATGGTATATATGTTGTGTATGGTGCGTGAGGTGGATATGACATGTATGTTGTGTGTGGTGTGTATGGGGTACATGTGTGGTGTGTATGGGATATGTGTGTGGTGTGTATGTGGTATGTGTGTGGTGTGTGTGAGGTGGGTATCATGTGGTGGATATGGGTTCAGTATGTGGGGTGTGTGAGGTGGGCATGGTATGTGTGTCGTGTGTGGTATGTATGGGGTATGTGTGGTATGTGTGAGGTGGGTATGTGTGTTGTATATAAGATGTGTGTGGTGTGTGATGTGTATGGGGTATATGTGTTGGGTGTGTGAGGTTGGCATGGTATGTGTGCAGAGTGTGAGGTGGATATGCTATGTGTGGTGTGTATGGGGTATGTGTGTGTGGTGTATGTGAGGTGGGCATGGCATGTTTGTAGTGTGTGAGACGTGGGTATGATGTGTGGTGTGTATGGGGTATGTGTGTAGGGTGTGTGAGGTGGGCATGGTAGGTGTGCAGTGTGATGTGGACATAGTATGTGTATGGTGCATAAACATATGCACACATATGCATACCTGTGCACTGCAGATGACAGGCAGGCTGGCAGCCCGGGACACACAGCGGTGACCAGCTCAGCCAAGGCAGGGCTCTGGCCGGGAGTGGCTAGGCCCCTGGCAGCTCAGGATCCTGGATATACTAAGAGCCTAGAAGGAAAGAACAAGCTGTGTCACCACCTCTACCCAAGTTCATCACTAACACGAACTTGTAAGCTGCACTGAAACCGTTCCACTTGTGATTAGAACCAGAAACACTCCAGATGGGCTCAGCAAAGCCAAGGGGGAAACTGTCCTCACTGTTCTCCTTCACCATCTGCAGCCAGATCTGCCACTAGCAGCCTTGCCAGGCAGTGCCTGCCTTGGGGAAGGGGCCCGGCCCAGGGGCAGGTCCCCGCTGTGCCCCTAACCCGGTGCCTGCAGTCCAGGGGCAACGGGGTGTGGGATCGTTGAGAAGTTTTTTCCTCTGGGCCTTATTATAAAGGGAAAGGCAAGGGAGCGAAGATCCAGGCTCGGGTTCTCCGGGGACTGCGAACCGAGGCGACCCCAATCCAGTTGCCATCCGGCACCAGGAGTTGATGCCAGCCAAGCAAGGACGCGGGAACGCATCAGAGGTTCGCCCAGCCCAGCGGCGGACCCGAGTGCCACCCCACCGCCAGACAGTGCCTCTAGCCGGCGCCAGGTGGCCATTCGCCGCGAGGGCCCCCCACCCAACCCGGGGATGCGAGAGCGCCGCCTAGTACCCGCCGCACCCACCCACCGGTCGTGGGAGAGGGAAGCGGCCTGTAGGAGGGAAGTGAGGCCGCTGGGCTGCACCCCCAGATCCCAGCAACAGCTGCCCCGCAGCCCCGCTGTGTCCACAGGGCAGCGCTCCGGAGCAATGGGGCCGCGACCTCCGGCCGCCCCCATACATCCGGCTGCCTGCAGCGCCGCGAGAGCCCCCAGGCTGCCACCGTCGGCGAGTCAGGCAGCCCGGGACCCCCAGTTTCCCCGGCCAGGGCGCGGGGCTGCTTCAGCGCGCCGCCGTCCCAGCCCTGCCGCCACCCGCTAGGTCCGCGAAGCAGAGCCCCTCAGCGAGCCCGCGCCCAGCCACACACCCCCAACCAGGCGCCTGCGGCCCGCGGGCTACGCGGTGCGGGGTTTTAATTGAGAAGCTTTTCCCTCTGGGCCTTACTATAAAAGGAAGGGAAGGGGGACAAGATCGGGGCTCGGGTTCTCCAGCACGGAACGCCCCAGCAGCCCGGCCGGCGCGGTGGGACCCGAGCGGGCTCCCTCCCCACTACCCCACCCCACCCCTGCCAGACAGCGCCTGTGCCCTGCGCCAAGTGGCCCGTCGCCGTAGCGACCCCGCGCGGGATGCGAGAGCCGCCGCCTGGTCCCCGCTGCACCCGCCCACCGGTCGTGGGAGGATTAAGTGGCCGTAGGAGAGGAGTGGGGCCTCCGGGCTGCACCCCCAGATCCCAGGGACAGCCACCCCGCAACCCCGCGGCCCTGCGGAGTCCAAAAAGCAGAGCTCGGAGCACTAGGGCCACAACCTCCGCCCCGCCCCACACTCCTCAGGGTCCCTGTGCTGCCGCGCGGGGCCCACCGGTGAGTCGGGCAGCCCGGGTCCCGCAGCTTACCTGGCCAGGGCGGGGCAGGGTTGCAGCAGCGCGCTGCGTACCGCCGAGTCGCCGCCAGCTCAGTCAGCGAGGCCGAGCTCCTCCGCGAGCCCGCGCGGAGCCGCACCCACTCTCTGCAGCGAAGTAGCCCCGGGCGCGTCCCGGAAGTGGCGTACGGCGAGCGCGCAAGGCCGCCTCTACTCGGCGCACGCGCAGGGCTGCCTCTACTCGGCGCACGCGCAGGGCTGCCTCTACTCGGCGCACGCGCACTCACCTGGGCCGCCTCCGCCGGGCGCAAGTGCCTTCACCTGAGCCTGTTGGCTACGCGCCCCAGAACCGCTCCCTTCGCCTCACCCTCTCTTGGGTCTCTGGGGCTGGAAACAGTTCCCGGAGACACGGCGCGGAGGAAAGAGATGGAATATAAAGATGATGCGTCGGAGCCGGGCATGCACGAGGCCCCGCGCCCCCTGGCCGCGGCGCTGGGGCAGTCGGCAGGGCGGGCGGGTGCACCCTGACCCGGGTGCGCGAGGCTGGTCTCCTGGACCGGGGCTGCAGCTCAGACGCTAGAAGGCGCGGCGACCCCGAATGCCACGGGACCAGGGGAGCACCCAGATTCCCGAGGTCCTGCTGGCTGCGGAGCTGCAGTGGTCTGGTCCCGCGGGTAGAGCCGGTGAACACTAGGCTCCCGCCTTTCCACGGCTGCCGCACTGCGCCCCGCTCATTGCCAACCGCCGCCCCCCGCCGCAGTTGTAAGAGGCGACCCTTGAGGAAGGAACCGTCGGGGATCGCCGCCTCCGAAAGCGCTATCCGCTATCCGGCAGGAGAGGCACCCTGCTGCCTCCCCACCGCGCTCCCCAGGCGCGTACAAGACTCCAAGTCTTCCCTATGGTCCCCTCCAAGCACCCCACCACCCCGTTTCCGATACCCTGTGCTGCTTTGGCCCCCCAACCCTAGGGCCTCACTCCAGGCCATTCTCTCCTTGCTGTCCTGAATGGAGAGGACCCTGACCTCCGTGGGGCCCTGGGGAGCCAGTCTTCGCCCCCCAACAGGGTAAGAAATTCCCTGGAGGCCCTGGAAGGTCGTGCCAGAGACTCCAGTGTCACCTTCAGCCCTCTGGCCCTTTCGTCGAGTCCCAGGCAGACTTGGTAAGCCATGTGAGACGCACAGGGGCCTTGTCCGGGCAGAGCAGGGGCTCAGGTGCCTCCCTCCCTCAGTGATTTGCCCTCTTTTCTCCTTGTGGTTGGATTAGGTGAAGCTGTGTCTGAAGTGGGGGGTAAAGAAGGACAGAGGGCCTTGGGGGTGCGGAGAGCCCATCTTCCTGCTGCCTTGAGGGCCCGAGTTGAGACCCTGAGAAGGGGCTGGGGGAAGCGGAATCCTGAGCTGCACTAGGGTTAGGTACAGGATGGACTTGGCCTCTCCACACTCTGCCCCCACCAAAAACTCACAACTCCCCAGGGCCAGAGCTGCCAGTGGGGGCTGCTCCTCGTAGGGCAGCTTTGTAGCCACAGGGCCAAACAAAGGGGCAAAGGCAGAGCTGGGGCAGGCCAGCGAGGTTTGTGACCCCCTCCCCGCTCAAGTGAGCATACCTTCACTGCTTACTGTCCACCTGGACAGACGTTCTGCTTACCTGGCCAACACAAAATTAACCCAGCCTCCTGTGGCCCAGCCTTTTTCAATGCCAATGGTGGGAAGCAACAATTACGAAGCAATGATTCCAAGAAGATAAATTGAGTCATCTTCTTGCCTGACCTAATGGTCATATCCCATAGGAAACCAGAGAGCTGTGCCTGAAGCTGATCCACACCCCATTCCACCTCCTCAAACCCCCACCCCCATCTGTGTGGACCAGTGCAGGTGGGCAAGTTGCATGCTGTTCCTTCCACAGCCTCCCTTGAGATCTTCCTGTGGGCAGGCTCTGGGCCAGTCACTGAAAATTAAACCCCATCCCAGCACCTAGGAGTGAGTGGCTGGTGTCCACAGTCCACAGGATGAAAAGTACAGGCCTAGGGCCAGGAACAGTGGCTCCCACCTGTAATCCCAATGCTTTGGAAGCTGAAGCGGGAGGCTCACTTGAGCCCAGCAGTTCAAGTGTGCAGTGAGCTATGATCGTGCCACTTGCATTCCAGCCTTGGTGGCAGAACAAAACCCTATCACTTTAAAAAATGAAATAAATTAAATAAATTTAAAAATAAAGGTACAGGCCTGCCCCCAGCCTCACTCAGGACTTAAATCTGGTAGGCTTGAGCCAACTGCCAGTATTCAGAGAATTTTTAAAGAATCATTAGGACAAATAGCTAACGAATGTGGGACTTAAAACCTAGATGATGCGTTGATGGGTGCAGCAAACCACCATGGCACACATATCCCCCATGTTACCAACCTACACATTCTATACTTATATCCAGGAACTTCAAGTAAAATTTTAAATTAAAAAAAAAAAAAAAAAAAAGAATCAGGCTGGGCGAGGTGGCTCATGCCTATAATCCCAGCACTTTAGGAGGCCGAGGCAGGCAGATCATGAGATCAGGAATTCGAGACCAACCTGGCCAACATGGTGAAACCCTGTTTCTACTAAAATACAGAAATTAGCTGTGTGTGGTGGCAGGTGCCTATAATCCCAGTTACTCAGGAGGCTGAGGAAGGAGAACTGCTTGAACCTGGGAGGCAGAGGTTGTAGTGAGCTGGGTTAGCATCACTGCACTCCAACCTGGACAGCAGAGTGAGACTCAACCTTGAAAAAAAAAAAAGGGCTGGGGGTATACAAGACAGTTGCTTCCTGTCTTTCTCGCTGTCTGCCATGGGAGGCTACAAGAAGATGGCCCTCTGCGAACCAGGAGGTGGGCCCACTTCAAGAACCAACCATGCTGATGCCCTGATCTTGGCCGTCTAGCCTCTAGAACTGGGAGAAATCAGTGTTTGTTGTTTAAGCCACCCAGTCTATGGCATTTTGTTAGAGCAGCCCAAACTAAGACACTGCCCCAATCATAATGATATCCCCCTACGTTTCCTTCTAAATGCTTTCAAAGTTTTCTTGTTTTTTTTTTGTTGTTGTTTTTTTTTTGAGACGGAGTTTCGCTCTTGTTACCCAGGCTGGAGTGCAATGGCATGATCTCGGCTCACCGCAACCTCCGCCTCCTGGGTTCAGGCAATTCTCCTGCCTCAGCCTCCTGAGTAGCTGGGATTACAGGCACGTGCCACCATGCCCAGCTAATTTTTTGTATTTTTAGTAGAGACGGGGTTTCACCATGTTGACCAGGATGGTCTCGATCTCTCGACCTCATGATCCACCGGCCTTGGCCTCCCAAAGCGCTGGGATTACAGGCTTGAGCCACTGCACCCAGTTTTCTTGGTTTTTGAGACAGAGTCTCACTCTGTCACCCAGGCTGCATTGCAGTGGCATGATCTTGGCTCACTGTAACCTCTGCTCCCGGCTTCAAGAAATTCTACTGCCTCACCCTCCTGAGTAGCTGGGACTACAGGCTTAAGCCACCATGCCTGGCTAATTTTTGTATTTTTAGTAGAGATGGGGTTTCACCATATTGGCCAGGCTGTTCTCAACTCCTGACCTCGTGATCCACCCACCTTGGCCTCCGAAAGTGCTGGGATTACAGGTGTGAGCCACCACGCCCAGCCCACTTTCAAGTTTTGCCTTTCACAACGAGATTTTTTAATCAACTGGCTTTTATTTTTTATATGATGTGAACTAGGGATTGAGTCATATTTCCTTTACTATCATAGTATGCACACAAATCTTCAACCTTCCTTTACCCACTGACCTTTATGCCATTCTTATTCTTTGAAAATATCTTCATTTGGTCAGGCGCGGTGGCTCACGCCTATAATCCCAGCACTTTGGGAGGCCGAGGCGGGTGGATCATGAGGTCAAGAGATCGAGACCATCTTGGTCAGCAAGGTGAAACCCCGTCTCTACTAAAAATACAAAAATTAGCCGGGCATGGTGGTGCACGCCTGTAGTCCCAGCTACTCGGGAGGCTGAGGCAGGAGAATTGCTTGAACCCAGGAGGCGGAGGTTGCGGTGAGCCGAGATTGTGCCATTGCACTCCAGCCTGGGTAACAAGAGCGAAACTCCGTCTCAAAAAAAAAAAAAAAAAGAAAATATCTTCATTTAAGTTCTGCTAGAAGCAAAGCCTGAGTCAAGGATGCAGGTACAAACATTTTTTAAGAAGGTGCTTCCAAGAAGCACAGGTGAGAGGGTGGGAAGTGAGATAGGGAAGGGAAAAAAGCCAACAGATGGTGCATTTATGAGCAGGTTGCCACAAAGGGTAACTGGGGCTCAAACTCACTAGGCCCTTCAAAGATACTGCAGCTGAGGGGCAGGGAAGCTGCGGTATTTATGCACCAACTCCCGTTCCTCATGGCTGTTTTAAAATGGATACAAAATTTACTTTAATCAGATATACTAAGACACCCAGATATGGAAATGACTGCCCTGAAGGAAGGAGTTTTTGATACTCAGAGGTCCCTAGAAACAAGTGCCAATCCATGCTATGCAGGGATACATGGAGAGGCACCAGGGTCAGTCAAGAAGTCAAAGGAGCTAGAGGAAAATGTGGGCAGGAGCTTTATTTGTGGCATCCAAGGGAAAGGCAAGGCAAGGCAGGGTAAGCAGGCACAGGATTAGCTATTAATAGTTTGAATAATTTCACTCGGCTCTGGGGCATAGCGCTGTTCCTAGTTGTCTAGTTCATGGTCCTGGGGTGATGAGGGCAGATGGACAGTGACCCAGTGTAAGAGCCTGACTAAGGAGGTGGTTGGGAGTATGGGCTTTGGATTGGCTGGTTTGCAGATGGAAGATGTACTTGCAGGTGAATCCTTTACTGTTTCTAGGAACTGTCTCACCCTGGGTGGAGCAGTCTCTCCAGGATCAGCAAGACCCGAGCTCTCAACACTTCAGGAAATGCAGGAAATGAAAAGGCATGATGAACACACTGAGGGTGCTCTTGAAGGCATCAGCCCCTGGCATGTATGTGGCTGGCAATACCGAGGGCCATGGGGATGGCACGAACAATGTCTGCTGCACTATTTTTTTTCTTTTTTTTTTGAGACAAAGTCTTGCTCTGTCACCCAGGCTGTAGTGCATTGGCAGGATCTCGGCTCATGGCGTCCTCTGTCACCTGGGATAAAGCAATTCTCCTGCCTCAGCTTCCCGAGTAGCTCGGACTA